TTTTTACACTCTCTGTGGTAATTAAGGAAATGTTTAATTTTAATTAAATTACGTTTCTTTGGTTCACAACTCCCCAGCACACACACTCACACACACGCACAAAAGCAAACACACAAACCCGACAAAGAGAGAGAGAAAGAGAAGCAGCAGCGGCGGCGGCGACAGCGATAGCAAACTCCCTTTCAAGGAGTAGAGACACGAATTTTTTTTCTGCCCTCTCTTTTACACGAACGCTGGGCAGGACGCGAAATGGAGTTTAGTTTTGGGTATATTTATAACTTTTTAGCACGGAGAGTTGTAATTCTGCATAATAATATTAACTCTGCTGGAGAGCACCAACAGCACACACACACTAATACGCCACTGCCGTTGGTGGTATGCGCCTTTTTGCGAGGAGGATGTTTTGGTGGAGCGACGCCTCGGAGTTTACCGCTAAAATCGAACTCTTTTATTCACTGGTAACGCAACCACATTTTTTTCCCCCTGTCACACTCGACACGCTCTTCTCTTTTTGTCACACTCACAGCTAATCAATTGTTGAAATGACATGTTTCTGCGATAACATTAAATTTGAGGCAGCCTTTTCAATTTTCAATTTTCAATCCGGAAAAAATTGTTGTTTCTTTCGCGGCGGCCCGAGGAATTGTGATAGGGATGTGGAATATGATACATCGATATACGTTTGTGGTTGACAATATATTAATGGTGTAGGTGATATTTTTTAGACAGCTGAAAATTAGTATTATTTTTGTTGGATATATTATTATTTAACCATCTTTTCTGAATTTGGAGTATATTTAAACTATTTTTCGGTTGTTCCTGGTCCTTAAGGCCTTAAGTGCATGATTTTGCTGAACAGAGTAGCTTCATGAAAATATCGGTACTTTTATGCGATAGATGTACGAGTTAGGCGGTAGCATACTTTTATTTTGAAAATATTAGAATCGTCAGATTCAAAATGCATTAATGAAATCCATTTAATATTGTTTGCAAGGGATCTTCTATCCTCGTAGTACCATACCATAAACGCTACAGATTATTGTTGGTTGGTGCAGTTGTCTTAATAGGGTCTCGGTTTGCTTAAAATAATTGTTAATTCTTTGTTTAGCTTGGAAGCTATTAAGGGAAATGGAAATCCCTGGCCGGTGCCACTAGAGGGAGCTCTATATAAATCGATATAATTCTCTATATAAGAAGCAAAAACAATCCATATTTTCGTTGCTATCCAAATGGCTCTTTTAATTAGCTTGTACATGGTGAAGAATTTGGAACGTTGTGGCGTTAGAAAACTAAATTAAGACTAACTTGTGTATAGTAATTAAAATAAATAGCATGGAGGGGGAACTCCTCTCGAGTCTAGTATACAGCCTTGCGATAGTTCTCCACGAAATGCTGTATTAGGCCGGGTAGCTCGGGGGCTCGGCAAATATACTTGTGGCCGTATCGCTTGCTGCGGTCAAAGCGGTGGAACTCCACCGGTCCCCACGCTCGGCTCCGGCTGTCAAGAGCGATGCGGTACAGCTGGTAGCCCAGGTGGAAGGGCACAACGACGTCGTCCTCGGCGTGAATGATCATAATCGGCTGCGGAAACTCGTGCACGTGAATATCCGACTCGAAGCGTAGCCGGTTGCTGTACATGGGTCTTGAGATTGTGAAGTCGAACCAGGGCAAGTGCTTGAAGATCCTTGAGAAGGGGTGCAGGCGGATCTCGTCCCGGATGTTGGTGAACGGGCTCTCTAGGATAACACCACGCGGCGCCCGCTCCTTCAGATGGGCCAGCCTGGCGCACATGTGCGTGGCCACGCCCGTGCCCAGAGAGTGACCCCAGATGATGACCGGGTTGGAGGTCACATTCGCTATGTACTCGTACACCATCATGGCATCCCTTACCACGCCCTCCTCAGTGGGTGAGACGGGATCCGAGTCGGCGTACCCGCGGTAGTCAAAGGACAACACGTGGTAGTTGAGGTTGCGCAGAAGCTTGTACACCTCCGAGCGGTGGCCGCTGCCCCGGGTGGCCGTGTTGCCGTGCAGGTAGATGACCACGGTTCCGCCAGGCATCCGCAGGAGGCGCTCGTAGAAAAGCTGCTCGTTCTCGGGTACGATCGAGGGGAACTCGGACTTTATAGCCGGAGCCATGAGCCTGAGCTCTTGCTCGTAGTCGTCGTCCCTGCGCTCATTTAGGGTGATGTCCTGGTCGAAGGCCTCCTCCACTTGCAGCTCCCTCTTGAAGCGGCGAACCGCGTTTCTCGGGAGCACGTGCCACACTCCGATGCGTACCCCATCCTCGTCCTCGTCATTTTCCTTGACCGTTATGTAGAAGTTCCGTGTCGCGTAGAGTCCGATGCCGGCGGGATTGGTGAGGTCGAGCCCCTTCGGGTAGGTGACTGCAAGAGGGAGTATGGACTTAGGATTGGTAGTTATTGTCTAGTGACTACTTACTGAATGTGAGGAAGAGGATGCCGCGCTGGAGCGTCACCGAGTAGCGGAAAACCAGAGGCAGCACCACCAATACCAAGATGAAGAACAGCAGACACACTTGGAGGCAGCGCAGGCCCACCCTGTCAAGGAAGAGGTGTCAGTGTGTTCCCGTGTGCTAGCTCTTTGTGGTGAAATGAGGGGGGAATGTGGACTACAAAAGGGGAGATATTACTACAAGTCGAGATACATAAAGTGAAGATGAAAGGTGGCAATGTCGATGAGATGTAATTGGTACAGTGAGAACCAGCGAAAACAGAACACGGAAGCGGAGCAGAGTCGACGGTGCCCGAAATGTCACGATGACACGATGGCAAAAGCAAAAAACGACAAATCAGGAGGTTTATACAGATGGAAAAGGGATTTGTTTACAACATTTATTCGAGCCGGGGGGACTCGAGATCGGTGCGAGGAGCTTGATGATACTTACAGCCCAATTAGCCAACTAATGAAGATCGTTCCGGGAATGATTGTAGCATAGCAAATAGTGTTTATAGTACTATGAAGCCCACTCATTGTTTTGGACGCTTTCGGTCTAATGCTTATGGGAATTAAGATATGCTTTGGTTTGTTCGATTCGATCGGGAGTCAACTGATTCGATTGATTCTGACCGTGTGCGTACTTGAATTATTGTCGAGTATTTTTATTTTGACGCGTTGGGAGAGAGAAGCAAACAGATTTCCAGGTTATTAGTTTGTTATTCATGAGTTTTTTTTGTTGAGGGGGATTTTTTCAAAGCGAGAATCATGCAAGGCACCGCGATAACCGAACCGAGCCCGAGGGTAGCGCAAACTGATCCCCATTATTTTGCCAAAAATTCCTTAAGGGCAACCTTTGTACCCTATCTGATACTGTTGATAGTGGCGGTGGGTGTCGGCGCGGGTATTACGTGTGGTGCTTTGGGGAATGCATGTATTTAAAAGATGATTTATGTAGGATGTGTATATGTATATGTGAGGTCAATGAGGCAGTGAGTAAGTGGTGGAGCGATTTGATAATGCCAGTCGGAGCGGCCGAGATATCAACGCAATACGAGCGTGACTAATGCCACCTACCACGCTCGGCTGCCACGCGAGGGCAGATCGAAATCATAAGGGAACACAAACGGATTTCGTACGACTACAAGCAAACTACCGGATTAAATTAAGCGGGGGTCGGTTAGTGGGACAAACACACAGGGAATCACCTCTTGAAGAACTGCCGCCTACGCGCAAAGAGCATAGCTGTAGAGACAAAAAGAAGGGGGGAAAAGAGAAAGAGAGAGCGTTAGAAGGTTGCCAGTTCATAAATTCAAGTTCAAAAAGCCACCGAGAGCGCAAGCGATATCCACAGAATAAAGGTCATGTCTGTAAATTGTCAATCGAGTGATCGAGAGAGGGAGGGAGATGGGAGACACTAACGGATTTGCGAACTTTCTTTTTAAGTAAATTATAATGACGTTTCACACTAGCGCGGGTGGGTCGCGTAACGTTGTGGGTGGCGCGTCTGTTGATACTGAAGGAGAATGATGAGCGTGGGCCCGTCCCCCCACAATTGTTGAGTTGATCGCTATCGCTTGCCCTCCCCGCGGCTTATGTGGACCAGTTTGAATTGAACATGAATAACACATTTAGTTGGGATGCACTTGTGGCCAATTAATGCCTAAATTACCGCCAAGTGGCTGGTAAGTGGGCATCGGTTGCCGACTCGGACTCACCGTGTTATATCAGTCCGTGGAAATGAGTGCCAAGAAAATGAAACCAGTGCAGTGCGTTTGTCTGATTAAGTAGTCCCTCTAGTCCAGCAGCTGCATGGTGGCCTGCAAGTTAATGGAAAACAGTTTTCAACACTTTTGATGCGTGGTGGGCTNTTGCATGTTTTTTGTGGGGGGGGGGGGGGGGGGGGGGGGGGGGGGGTGCGGTTGCAGTTGCGATGCATCAGCACCTGCAGTCAGACATCCCCACATTGTCGCCGAGCCAAATAGAGTCCGTTTATGTGGCAGGCTTTTGTGCAATGGCTTTTTCTATGACCCCTATTGAAGGGGGTAAGGGGTTTTCGACATTGTTTTTTAGTGTTAACAGCCTTTTTACTAATTTTATGTAATAAAATCAAAGGATATCCGCAGGATTTCTGTTCTCACCACATACGCTCCAGGACTAGACGAGATATCCTCTAATTTAAATATTTGTTCTCCGGTTTGTGTCGACTCCAGGTTTTAAGCAATTAACTAATTAATTTTTATTGGATTTGGAATTTTTCAGGCGAACAGCTGTCACTGTTGTTATTGACTATCGATGCCTGCTAGAGATGAGCTGCCAGAGAAAAACTTGTGCAGCAGTCACAATATCTTAGTGACAGGTCACAGGTTTGATAGGAACTACAGACTAGCGGATCGTAATTCCAACTTTGGGCATTTGATGTGGATGCTGCTCACTTATTCGAGCTTTGAGCGATTTATCATGCATTTCTAATTTTGGTTTTGAAGCGTCAATCTTCAGAAAATATCGCTATAATCGATAACCAAAATATCAGTTCAAAATATATCAAAAAAAATGTATGTGAATATTTCGATACATCACAACCCTGAGAAACAAAAGAAATTGCGAATTTAAAGAAAAGGCGAGAGGGAGACGATTGCAATTGCAACGGCAGGGCCGAAACTTGGACAAATGAAGAGCTTGGACGAAATTAAGGCGGAGTATCCGCTCCACTGGCACATCTGGCACGGCGACGTGGAGCAGCTGCAGGCTGAGCTTCAAATCGACCAGGTAAATGGTGGGTGAGGTGGGTGTGGTTGTGGCTGGGCTGTGATTCTTGCTGAAGGTAAAGCTGGACAGGTGTGTGTGCGCGCTAATTGAATTAGCGCGTTCTCCCGACAGCCGACGGACAGCAGAGCAATAATAATAACCATAAACGGCAAAATTCATCAACTTACAGAATGATAAGGAAAAAATCGATCCGCGAGGTCGTACCCCCCTGATGCTGGCTGTGCGATTGGCAAATCTTCCCTGTGTCAAGTGCCTACTAGCTGCCAAGTGCAATGCGACCTATGAGCACGAAGGCTGGTCAAGTGAGTGCATCATTAGATAGACTCTGGCTGATGGAGATAAAAATGTAACACTCTCCTTCACATTTGTCCCCCAGTTGTACAGGAAGCCGTGTGCACTGGCGACGTAGACATACTGACTGCCATTATCGAGGTGCGTGACCTGCAGCGGCATGTCCAGCGCGTTACGCACGTGCCCAAGCTGCTGCAACACCTCCTGGACGCCCCCGACTTTTACATAGAGATGAAGTGGGAGTTCACGTCGTGGGTGCCTCTGATGTCGCGTCTCTGCCCCAGCGACACCTACAAGGTCTACAAGCGGGGGGCGAATGTGCGCATCGACACTACCCTGCTAGGCTTCGACAATAACACTTGGCAGAGGGGGAACCGCTCGTACATCTTCAAGGGCGCCAGTAAGACTAACCTTTCAGACTTTTACTGAGCTCACCGTTTTTAAGCTCTCTCTCGTTTTCCCCGTAGAGGAGACGGCTACCATGATCGAGATCGACCACGACACGAACGAAGTAATGGTGGAGCAGATGAGCAGCGATATCGGGGACATTGTGGCTATTCCCCCCGCCCTGGGCACTGTGCGAGCCCGCCTGAATGCGCCCGTCATCACCAACAATATCGAGATGGAGAAGATCAGTTTCGAGCGCAACAAGTGTGGCATCTGGGGCTGGCGCAGCGAGAAGTCTGAGGCCATCAATGGCTACAACTGCAAGGTCTATGGAGCCAGTAATGTGGAGTTTGTCACAAAGACGCGCATGGATCATCTGAGCGAGGAGCAAATCAAGGTGAGAACTTCCCCTGTTCTATCACCATTGAATCTAGCAACTCCAACCACCCGCAGAACAAAACAGCACGGACGCCTCTTCACAGTTTGCTGGGAATTGCCGACGAGGACTACGTGCCCCCCACAGACATAGCAGCGGCACTCAAAGAGCGCGTAAGTAGAATTCATCTGTTGTATGGTCCGTCTCCATATTTTGCTCTTGGCTAACCACCTGTTACTGCAGACACCCTCGCCGCGTTCTGGAGAGACAGCTTCCCTCTTGGCGGACAGCGAAAGCGGTGGGCGCTCCTCACCCGCCGTTCTCCAGAGCAATGGCAGCTCTGGCTGCGCATCGGGCTCAAGCACGCCCAGGGCGTCAGTTACGCCAGAGGAGTACTTTAGCGACGAGGTCGATCTACATGGTCGGGACGTAGGCAAGCCAAAGAATCTGAGCACAAAGGTGCAGCGCTTCAAGGCCAACCTATGGCTGGCCGAGCAACATCCGATACGACTGCAGGAGCAGGTGCTTCCAATCCTGGACCTTATGTCTACCATGGCCAGTCCCCACGTGTCAAAACTGAAAGACTTTATTACCATGCAGCTGCCAGCCGGCTTTCCGGTCAAGGTGGAGATACCGCTCTTCCACGTCCTCAATGCATGTATCACGTTCGGCAACGTGTTCGCCATGACCACGCCAGTGGAGTACGTGGCCACCCTGGAGGAGCAGGACCGCGTCACCTGCCTGGTGGACGACCGCTGTTTCGATATACCCAGTCACTACACAACCCGGGGAGGCGACTCCCGGCGCCAGATCCCATTGGACGAGGATGACATGCTGCAGTACGCCATCGAGCAGAGTCTCGTGGAAACCAGCGGTGCCTGCGGAGCCGAGGCCGATGACAAGGTGGACATCTGGGAGGTGCTGCGCGGCCAGAGCGTTGTTGGTTCCGACATGCTGCCCGAGGACGACGAGCAACTGCAGCGGTAGGTTATGGTTCACATTTTGGTCTCTTTACAGGAAGCTAACAGGTGCAAACCGCCAACGCTAGTCACCCTCGCTTTTCCTCGCACCTGCTTTCCCCTCACCACCAGTACGGACGGCACTCGCCGTCTCCCAATTCCCTCCTCGAGCCGCAGCCCCGCGGCCGCTCTGCCTCGGCGGGGGCTCAGTTCAAGAACGACCTCAGCTACATGAAAAAGATCTTTAAGTAGTCCTCCCCAACACCCAACACCTTCACTTGTCTCCTCCTCCTGTACAGCTAGATGGCATCTTATCCGAGCTTTGTGTGTTTCCGTGTTCCATTTCGTCCACAGGGTGCTACAGGAGTCGTTGCTTGGAGCCCACGCCAATGCCAGTGGCTCACCCGCCTCCGAGGACGATGACGATGGGGGTTTTCGGTACGTGGACGCTGACCTGGCCATGGCCATGCGTCTCTCGCAGCAGGACCAAAAGAAGTACGAACTAGAGCGGCAGCGCGAGCAGGAGATGATCGAGCAAGCGCTCAAGCTTAGTCTGCAGGAACACTAGTAAATCAATCAGCAGAGTCACCAGAAGGCAAACAATCACCACTCCGACCAAATCAATCACGAACTGGCACTCGCTTTTCCCTTTGTGATGCAATCGATTCCAAAATTCAAGTTATATTTTCTAGTGTAACACTTTCGACTAAGTTGTATAAATATTATTTAAGTTGCCTATCTAAGTTCCTCCCCCTAGTGGATCCTTGATTGAATTGTGATACAAGGCAGCATCAACAACATCCGCTTGGCTTGCTCTGATCTGCTCTCAACTCGTCCACTCGCGTCCGAACAACCACAGAAAGTCTCAGCTATACGATCTGTATACCACCAGACACCTCTATACTATTCTATGATAAATATATGTGTCTATATCGTATATTCATATGTACGATAGATAAGCATTCATATTCACGTATGTGTAGAGTCTATCTGTAGATCTTGTAGTCCGTAGTTTTTGCTATCTATTTAGCATTAAGTGCGTGAACAAATGTCACATATCCTCCGAAATTTACATTTTCCTATTTACCTGTTTTCGTTTAGTTTGAAGATCTTTTGCTGACACATACACACTATATATAACTGTATTTACTAATCAGCATTAACACTACTTTATACTAACAAAACACACACATTCATCATTCTCTGTGCAAATGAGTAAAATACATACATACTATGTGAAGTACACAAAATCCACATAAATCCACCTTGAATACATTCCTATTCGATGCAGATGCATGCCCCTCTATTGGATGTCCCTCTATTGGATGCCCCGACCCGACTAGAGCTAGACGTACTTGAAACATTTTTTCCTGTCTTTCGAAATGTGAGTCTTGAACAGGACCGAGTCCGCCCGGTACTGGGTGTTCAGCAGGGGCGTGTAGCCGAACACCTGGCTAAAGAAATTGATGCACTTGTGGCGGTCCTCAAGGTGCTTGGGTCTTTGGCTGAGCGAAGACTTAATTCCTCGACGGCGAAAGCTCCAACGAGAAGTGATTTTCACCGGCGGCCTTCGAGTTATGTGCGAGACAAGGAAGTTCATGGCGATGTCCTCGCAGTTCATGTTCTCATCCACCTTGTCCCTAATGGCCTGCGGCATATGATAGGTGTACAGGTACATGTAGTACTTGTGCAGGAAGGCCGCTCCGGTGAGCACCATGCTCAGCTCGCAGCTGAAGCTGTAGTTGTAGCGCCACGTGCTGCTGACGGCATCCCAGGCATGGTGGCGGCCAGGCAATCCCACGATACGATCGCGGTGCTCGCGCCACACCCGGAAGCCGAACACAATCTCGTCTTGTCCGATTTGAACGTCGTCGTCCATCGAGAGCACCGCCTCCGTCTCTATTACGTCCCATGGCAGGAAGCGGTTGTTGAGCGAGTTATGCTGTCCGCGTACAACTTCGACGGGCACTCCGATAGCCGGCCAGCGGAGACTGAGTTGCGGCGACTTTGGCGAATTCCATACCACGACCACCTTGTAGAGATAGGGCAGTCGGTAAAGGCGGCGCAGGGATCCCAGCAGTGCGTGCTCCCGATCGTATGATAAAATTACGATGGTGAACTGCTCCCTGGGGTAGTTCCCGCCGAGAGCCTCGCTGAACTCCTTACCGGCGCCTCCAATTCCCTTACCGATTGGCCGGAATCCTGTATGGGATCCGATGAACTTTGCTTCGGAGGGAAGGGCGGGATCGAAGGGCAGCTGGGGGTACAAGTAGTAGGGTTCAACCCAGTCGTTCCAGACCTCCATTGACTGCACGCGTAGAATCGTGTAGTTTCGGCCAAAGGCGGGGCTCGGATAAGGCGGCTCAATGGGGCCAAGAGACTCCTCCGGCTGAATGGTTAATCTTATCTTTGCCATTAACGGCGTAACCGAAATGTTGAAAATGTGATGAGAAACAACGCTTGGAATAGGCCGCGGTGGTATCCCTAGCCGATCGCGTAGGCTAGCTATAACCGTATCCACCGTGGCCTGAACCGAACTGAGGTAGCGCTCCCAGATAAGACGGCCCTGGCGCCGCAGAAGAAGCAAGTCCGCATCCTGGACGGCTCGCAGTAGGAAGTGCAGCTCCGTGATGCGAGCTTTGGGCATGAGGAGTGCCGCCCGACGCCAGTCCAGAGTCTCCGCGTACGGCAGTCGGAGTTCATCTGCTCCGAGGATGACGGGAATGGCCCCAGAGCGCAGCGCCTCGTAGAGTCGGGCCAGCATGAGGGTGGAAGCAACCCGCCCGCTGAGCGGCGGAAGGATCAGCGCAAAGGTAGAGTCCTTCAGCAGATGTTTGCGGGAGGAATCCGATCCACAGAGCGTCCAGTCGGACACGGAGTCCGCCTCCTGCTGCTCCGTGGCAGGCACGCACTGGAACTGCAGCTCGAACTGATCCTGAGTGGGTCCCTTAGACATGTCAGTCAAGTGTTCCAGAATGAAGTCGTCGAGCGGGTTTGAGGCTTGAGAGTCTGTTCTCGGTCTCATCTCTCCTTGGAACGAAATCAAGTACTTGCGGCGGGCGGGCACCATGCTGGCACACTCCTGCCAAACGTCTCCTCCGGGTGGCCCCAGGATGGGGGGCACAATCAGATCGTATCCGGGCCGGAACTGGTTCATCTCAAAAGCGCTCTGAATGACAATGGCACGCATGGTGTTCTGCTGAAGCAGTGCATTGGTGCGGCGGGAGGAGAGGTCACGGCGTGNCAATGGGGCCAAGAGACTCCTCCGGCTGAATGGTTAATCTTATCTTTGCCATTAACGGCGTAACCGAAATGTTGAAAATGTGATGAGAAACAACGCTTGGAATAGGCCGCGGTGGTATCCCTAGCCGATCGCGTAGGCTAGCTATAACCGTATCCACCGTGGCCTGAACCGAACTGAGGTAGCGCTCCCAGATAAGACGGCCCTGGCGCCGCAGAAGAAGCAAGTCCGCATCCTGGACGGCTCGCAGTAGGAAGTGCAGCTCCGTGATGCGAGCTTTGGGCATGAGGAGTGCCGCCCGACGCCAGTCCAGAGTCTCCGCGTACGGCAGTCGGAGTTCATCTGCTCCGAGGATGACGGGAATGGCCCCAGAGCGCAGCGCCTCGTAGAGTCGGGCCAGCATGAGGGTGGAAGCAACCCGCCCGCTGAGCGGCGGAAGGATCAGCGCAAAGGTAGAGTCCTTCAGCAGATGTTTGCGGGAGGAATCCGATCCACAGAGCGTCCAGTCGGACACGGAGTCCGCCTCCTGCTGCTCCGTGGCAGGCACGCACTGGAACTGCAGCTCGAACTGATCCTGAGTGGGTCCCTTAGACATGTCAGTCAAGTGTTCCAGAATGAAGTCGTCGAGCGGGTTTGAGGCTTGAGAGTCTGTTCTCGGTCTCATCTCTCCTTGGAACGAAATCAAGTACTTGCGGCGGGCGGGCACCATGCTGGCACACTCCTGCCAAACGTCTCCTCCGGGTGGCCCCAGGATGGGGGGCACAATCAGATCGTAGCCGGGACGGAACTGGTTCATCTCAAAAGCGCTCTGAACGACAATGGCACGCATGGTGTTCTGCTGAAGCAGTGCATTGGTGCGGCGGGAGGAGAGGTCACGGCGTGCGAGGTTGAGCAGCACATGGTTGCGGCCATCACCGCCCCAGTAGGGCAGGTTGTACAGCTTCTGGGTGTCAATGGGGCAGTCGTGTGTGTGGCTGGATGCCGTCGGCTGCTGCTTAACCAAGAGAGCTTCGCCCAATATAACCAGGAAGATGCAGGCCTCCGTTGGATCCGTCACGATGTGCGCATTGGAGCCTAGAATCTGTTTTAGAGTCTTTTTGAGGAACTCATCGATGTCGTAGCCAGCTCTTTGGACGCTGTGCTCGCCGGGGTCGTATAGGTACACTGGGAAGCCAGAGGTGAGGCTGCAACGGGAGTGGTCGAAGCAGTTGTGCATCGCACAGGTCGCGGCTACGCCCGTCGACACAGTATTCATCTTTTTGGGCAGCGAGTTGGCAAGGAGGGTGAGCGGCAGGGTAATTTTGGGATGGTCTCGCATTGCCTCTTGTTGGGCCTCCTGCGCTTGCTTCACGCCGATTTTGAGCTGCTCCAGCGTATTTTGCTCACGCAGTCGCTCCTTCTGAAGCTTCACAAGTTCCCTCTGGTACTGACCGATGCCCCACTGCAGCTTATGGATATGGGACTCCAGCCTGGTCGCCTCGACAGACAGATCCAACTGAAATTGGTGAGCTCTATTCATACGGTACACCAGACAGGACACCAGAAACAGCAGCATGAGAAACAGGGCGAAAATATTGCGTCGGCAGTGGCCTATCCAGTCATTCTTGGCCACAGCCGGTGATTTTTCCTCTTCGCTACTGCTGTGCAGTGGCTGGTAGTCGTCGCCATAGCTGGCCATGTCGAAGGAACAAGCGAGAGTTACTTAGCCTTCCATATATGTATGTTTCACTTTCGGTGGAGTTTTAAACGTCTGCTGAAATACCTACTATATACATACTCCCAAATACTCTTCCAGGTTCAAAAATGTCCCGTCCCCTTAGGCAAAGCTTCGGAATGGTGTCGCTTTAAAGGTGATAGTGCAGTGAGCTTGCGTAAAAGGGAAATTAATCTTCTAGTAGCTCATCCTTTATCGATATTGATGGCAGATGAATTCATTAGGCGCTATATACAGAGTCGAGTGGGGGACATGCATACATACATACATAGAAACTTAGGATAATTAAGCAAACGTAGACAAACATAAGTAAAAGACTTACAATCGGTTTCTGGTGTCTCCGGCATATACGGCAGACCGAAGCAATCACACGCGCGTTCAAAACTATAAGTGAGGAGCTCGGCGAGATTAGAAGACGAACTGGCGCGGAAAAGCGGACTGGGTAATCGGTAATCTCACATTGCTTATCAGTAGCTCCGCTTTGAGTCAATGTTGTCCAGTAGTCGGCTACGCAGTATATACATAACTTTGTGCTTAGAACTAGGAGTCGGATTCGGACTGGGTGCCGGTGTCCAGGGCAGTAAGTGAAGCGGCCGTCGTCGTGGTTCATCGTTTCTGGATGGATACGGGTGTGGATGCCCCGACCCGACTAGATCTATATGTACTTGAAGCACTTTTGCTTGTCGTGCGGGATTCGGGTCTTGAACAGGATCGAGTCCGCCCGGTACTGCGTGTTCAGCAGTGGCGTGTAGCCGAAAACCTGGCTGAAGAAATTTATGCATTTATGGCGCTCCTGGAAGTGGGTGTCGTCCTCGCTTAGCGAAACAGGGCATCCTGGGCAGCGGAAAGTCCAACGAGAAGTCACTTTCACCGGCGGCCGGCGAGTGATGTGCGAGACAAGGAAGTTCATGGCAATGTCCTCGCAGTTCATGTACTCGTCCACCTTGTCGCGAATGGCCTGCGGCAGGTGATAGGTGTACAGGTACATGTAGTACTTGTGCAGGAAGGCCGCTCCGGTGAGCACCATGCTCAGCTCGCAGCTGTAGTTGGAGTTATAGTGCCACATGTTGTTGCTGCTCACATCCCAAGCGTGGTAGCGACCGGGGAAACCGACGACACGGTCGCGGTGCTCGCGCCACACACGGAAGCCAAATAGGATCTCGTCGTGCCTCAGGTGGGCATCGTCATCCACCGAGAGCACCGCCTCCGTCTCGATAACATCGAAAGGCAGAAAGCGGTTGTTGAGCGAGTTCCGCGGAGCGCGCAGAACCGCCACTGGCACTCCGATGTCTGGCCAACGAAGGTCGTCCAGCGGCGGTTTGGGGGAGTTCCATACCACAACCACCTTGTGCAGATACGGCAGCCCGTAAAGGCGACCCAGCGAGTCCATCAGCACCTGCTCCCGCTCGTATGTCAAAATTACGATGGTGAACTGCTCCCTGGGGTAGTTCCCGCCGAGAGCCTCGCTGAACTCCTTACCGGCGCCTCCAATTCCCTTACCGATTGGCCGGAATCCTGTATGGGATCCGATGAACTTTGCCTCGGAGGGAAGAGCGGGGTCGAAGGGCAGTTGGGGGTACATGTAGAAGGGATCTACCCAGTCGTTCCAGGCCTCCTTGGACTGCATGCGTAGGATAGTGTAGTTTCTGCGGAAGGCGGGACTCGGATATGGCGGCTCAATGGGACCAAGAGACTCCTCTGGTTCAGTGTCCAGTCCCACTGGTGGATCGGACTTCAGAGGTATGAATGTGCTGTTGAAGACACTTTGGGCAACCACTGGGGGAACAGGCCGCGGTGGTATCCCTAGCCGATCGCGTAGGCTAGCTATAACCGTATCCACCGTGGCCTGAACCGAACTGAGGTAGCGCTCCCAGATAAGACGGCCCTGGCGCCGCAGAAGAAGCAAGTCCGCATCCTGGACGGCTCGCAGTAGGAAGTGCAGCTCCGTGATGCGAGCTTTGGGCATGAGGAGTGCCGCCCGACGCCAGTCCAGAGTCTCCGCGTACGGCAGTCGGAGTTCATCTGCTCCGAGGATGACGGGAATGGCCCCAGAGCGCAGCGCCTCGTAGAGTCGGGCCAGCATGAGGGTGGAAGCAACCCGCCCGCTGAGCGGCGGAAGGATCAGCGCAAAGGTAGAGTCCTTCAGCAGATGTTTGCGGGAGGAATCCGATCCACAGAGCGTCCAGTCGGACACGGAGTCCGCCTCCTGCTGCTCCATGGCAGGCACGCACTGGAACTGCAGC